AGAGTGTGGCGCATTTTATCGCTAAATGTATCCAAAAATTGTTCGACTGACATTAAAATTTATCATTAATGGACCACTGTTTCGTGGTGTGTAGGAGCAGGTGGTTTTTCAAACCGGAGCTGCAACCAAAACACACCCACAAGAAACAAATGCACCAGCTAACTCACGAGAATACTTCACTTAAAAGCAAGGCAGGAGAGAGAACTGAAGGAAGAGTACTGTTACTGTACTGATAATTTACAAGTAAAATTAATAATAAAAGGAAATTATTCAACTAATTAAAAAAAAAACAAGTTGGTTATTGAAAAAACACTCAAATTGTAACACTGGGCTGGCGAATCAGACATGTGTGGATAAAAGACAAACTGTAAGGTTTATTAAAAGGAGAATTGACTGAAATAGCAAGGTTAACACCAGACAAGGTCAGAAACCAGATTAACAAAACACACTACATGAGTGAAGACGATAATGGAGTCAGATAAACAGGCGAGGGTTGTAACCAAAGAGCAAACGAGATGTAATGCCATGAGCTTTTTTTTGCAGTGCGTAGAGCAGGGAACTACTTGCAGTTGTGTTTCTGATAAAACCTGATAAAACCCGCTGCATGGAAGTGCATATATGTAGAGGTGTGGATAGCCAATCAGAGTGCAGCTGACGATATCCCAGTAGTTGTGGCCACTTTAGCACGTAAAAGATATCACTTCGTTTATGAGTAGGCAGAGCACCTGAGATAGAGACTACATAGTGCCTGGTGAGATGAGTTTAGAACTCATCTAGCTTAATGAGGAACTTATCCCAGCTTATTGTACACTCTTAATAATAAAGGAGCCAAAAGTGTTCTTGGAACGATGCCTTAAGAACCACTTTTTCTTCCCTGAGGAACCTTTCAATTGAGTGATTTCAAGAACCATCCACTGAAATGTTCTTTAGGTAATTAAAGGTTGTTCTCCTACAGCTTTGCTCCAAAGAATAAAGAGTTATGAAGGTGTTTTTAAAAATGAAGGCACAGTGAAGTGGACTGAAGACTGGTGTGGACAGATGGCCATGCTGGAAACAAAAGGTCAAAAGGTGTAAGAAAGAGAGAGAGAGAGAGAGAGAGAGAGAGAGAGAGAGAGAGGAGAGAGAGAGAGAGACATTAGAATGTCCATCTACCGTTAAACAGCTGTTAAATGGATTATACACTAAAGTCTTCAACAATTTCACATGCGCACGCACTCAAGCATAGAAGGGCAAAGACGTACACAAAATACAGAACAAATAAGTACCTTAAATGGCCTCTGGTTGAGTAATGTCCGGTTGACAGAAGTGCTTTTTAATTTTACCTCTAAAACAGGCTGTGTTCATTCAGGTGGATACACCTTGGGGACAACGGTTAAGACAAGCACATACACACATCCATACAGTTTAACAGAAGCAGAGACGGGGAAAGAGAGAGAGAAATGGCTAAGTAATAGGATATTCCATCTGGAGCTGCTTGTCCTTGATGAAAACATCATTATTCACAAGAGACGGGGAAAAAGTGTTTATGTTAGGATGAACAACATTCAATAATTAAACGCATACTCTGTTAATCTTATGATTGATGTGAAAGAGGTCACTTGTAGGACACACGTTAGCTGTCTACCCCTATTATTAACCTTAATGTATAAATAACTTGGGGGGTTGTAAGCTTGTATGTTTACAGCCTTAGACATTCAGTCACTTAACAGATTACTCTGTACTTAACCTTCATCTCTCTGCTCTTTTCACCCAAAATGACCCCACTCTGGAGATTGAGTCCATTGCATGGACTGTTCCTGGAGTACTCTAGGGAATCTGAACATGTCTCCTAACGGAGCTGCACCATTTTTCAGTACACACACATCCACGCCATGACCTTTGCTACCAATTTCAAGGTGTGTTCATTTGACCTTGTGGTCAGATGAGTTAATGTCCCTCGATATCAACACGTTGACATGTCTGTTAATGAATGCTACTTATACATCATTCAGTGGGACGTAAACAGCACATCCAATTCTATGTCTTATAGCCAGCACATTTCACTTCAGATGATTTAATTTTCACAAAATAAATCCTGAAGACATCATTATGCGTGCCCACCACTGGGAATCAGGGATTTAGAGTAAATATTCCAACCTTAAGTAATTCTCTAAATTCTGTTTTGGTGCATAAATACAAGTCTCTGTCCTCCGGCCAACTGGAACACAAACGCACTGAGACACACAAACATCGCTTGTGACAGCAGTCTGGCTAGACTGGCTGTAAGTATGAAAGATCCATTTTTTAAGCATTGTTGCCCAGTCTGTATGGTGTGAGCCAGAGCGTAAACTACCAATGGAGGATGGGTTTTTACAACCCACATGAGTGCAGGGTCTCATTTCTATTTAGTGTTTCATTTTGGTTTTTTTATTTCAGTTAAGTTTCAGTTAGTTTTAGGGCTGCATGAATAGTTTTAGTTTCAGTTTTAGTTTTACTATTATGATGGAGGCTGTGATAGTAGGTATTTGATAAAGGTAGAGTAAAATTAACACAGTAGTGTTAACTACAGTAGACTAAGCTCGGCTCAGCTCCAGCTTTCTTTAAAGACTGCCAGTGGCAGGATCCACTTCTAAACTCCCACTCATGCTCTGAAAAAACAAAATGAAAGGTTTTGTCTCAGTAATTCTGTTTTGTTTTAGTTATTGTTGCAGTGGACATTGTAGTTTTAATTAGGTGTTTATCTGTTTTTGAAAACTATTGTTTATATTTTTTATTACAATCAACAAGCACATTTCTGTTGCTAGTTTTTGTATTAAAAATAGTTTTAGTTGACTATAATAGTTGTGGTCAGTCTGTTGTTCTGAGAACACCAGCAGCTTCTATGTTTGGTTTTCAAATGTTTATCTTTTTTCTCAGTATAGGCTTTGTGACAGCTTCACATCCATTAAACTCATAGTGTTGAGTTGTCTTCTCACAGTGGAAGGATGGACAGAAACACCTGTGGGTTTTGAAGTAATCTGAAGTAAGAGTGGAGCTGGAGTTTCTCCTCTCTCTCTCTCAAAGGGAAATTTTCACATTTTATGCATAATTTAGCAGTTAAGATGTAAACAGCATCAGTCAGAGTGGTATGATGTGAAACTGTTCACTGTAGAAAAATGTACAGACTCAGATTTCTTCGCATCTACAACACAAACACTGACATTTTATTTACTATGCAGAACCACCAGTGAACCTACAGGAGTTTTATATGTAATATTGATGATGGTAAAATAGCAGTAAATCTGAAAAACATAGTTCTTTAGGGACTAGTTTGCCTTACAGTGCCCTGCATGTACCTTTCCATCATGAAAGGATTAAAAAAGTACAATTTATTGCAAAACTATCCTCAAACAATGCCTCAGACATCAGGCAGCATATTCATATTTCACATAATAGTACTCTTCAGATGTCTGGTTCCCATCACCACCACTGTGAACAACTCTGACTGCATGTTTTTCTGTAACTGAGCATTACAAATCAAACCACTCGAAATGACGTTTTTTACATCTTAACCATTTAATTATTCGTAACTTTTGAAAAATTGGTGGAATTCTGCTTTAATTACTGTTTATCTGATGGTGACAGTTTTGGTGCTCTACCAGGTCTTGCAGGGTTGTTGAACTAGGATTGGAAACTTCTGTTTGTTCACTTATTGACCTTTCTCCTTTCCCCCTCCTTATATGAATGGACTATCATATATCTAATTTCCTCAGAAATATCATCTGAAAGAGCAACACATTTAACCTAATGACCATATTAACTGCAAATTCAATGAAAAAGTATGGAAGAGTTTTATACATTTACTCGTTGTGAACAGGTTTGGGGGCAGTCATTACAAAAAGCTCATTTTTTCCTGTTTTTAATTTGAACACAATTTTACACCATTTTAAAATGCCATCTTCATTATATCATATCATAAGAACATTTAATTATACGAAACTGCTTAGAATGAAATCATTTCTTTAATGCAATTTTTTCATTGCTCACAGTTTTTACAGTCAAATATCCCAGGACAGGTGTAGCTTCTTAAATAATGGCTATAAAATAATATAGTATAATGTAATATAAATTTCTCAAAAGTAAGTATCCTCCAAAACATATGTTAAGAATATTTTTTCTTATCATATAATGCATCGTTATCATTTCAGAGATGTGTGGTTTTGTTACAACTGTAAGCTTTTCTCAACCTACTTTCTCACCTTGCTGCGTTTAAAGTTTTGTCTTCCTCCCACACTAATCTAATCTTCCTCCTCTCATCGCGTCACACCATGTCTGATGAGCTACTTGAGTAATCAGACAGGGGTCCTGTTCGGTGGCCTGACCCAGGACACCACACTAAGCCATCCTCATCATACCCTCCAGCGCTGCTCCTAGGGCACAGATCTGTGTGCCAGATATGGCAGTGAAATCAGTCAGGGTAAGTCAGGACACAGGCACAAACACTTTCTAAGCCAGCATTTCTCTCTCTAGAGAGAGGAGTGCGTCACAACTCACACACTATCAAAGAACTTTCCTCTCTCTCTCTCTCTCTCTCTCTCTCAAAGTAAGAGAATTTCTACACTTGAAGTCGACACCTTGGGCTTTACAAGGAATAAAAAAATGCTCCACTGATTGTAGTCTTAAAAAAATGTATGTGTGCGGATTTCTGTGCCACTATGTAAGATTAGTATCTGTATTTCACTGCTAGTAATATTTTATAGATTCACATCCTGGAGTGCCTCTATGTATTTTGATAATACATGCTTGTTTGAGAAGTCATCTCACTGTTTACTAAAACTGCCTCCACAGGCAATGCAGTCTCTTTAGCCTGTTTAAGCAAAAATACATTTTCCTCTCGTAGCTCCAGGGTGCCCAGGAAATGCTGAGAACTGTTTATTTCTCCTCAAAACGATTGAAGTCTCTGCCCGCAAGAATGTCTGTGTTTGTGGGGAACTTGGAGAAATGGAGACATTACCACAGCACCAGCCTCTCAGGCCTCTCAGGTACTTCAGTCTCAGGCTCGGAGGCTCCTCCCACAAGGGTGCACAGAACATCTAAGGTATCCTGTATGCTAAGAAGGCCACAAATCTGACTGGCTATGTGCATTGTCATGTGTACGTACTTCTGTGGAACGCTTTTCATCAGTTGAAAAATTCACAGCATCCTATTGTTAAAGTTTTCGAAGCAATTAGCAAATAAGCAAGATGTCCTCTTGTGCTTGTTCAATACTACACTGTTTCCTGTAGTTCTGTTTTTGTTGTAGCACTGATTGTACACATCATGAAAACCTACATTTTCTGTTTGATCATTTTGCGTGTCAGTCAAATGGCCTCTTCATGTCAGAGTAGGTGTTTCTTGGTCATATTGAGCAATGGAACACAACAGACTCTCTGGCAATAAGCTTGCAATACTAGGCTTGTGAGGATTGAAAGACCAAAATACCCAACCCCTCACAGAAAAGCTATACATGAAAGTATGGGCACTATATTTTTACTCAAGTAGAACTGAAACCATTGAGCCAAAAATGTACTTGAGTGAAAGGAAGAAACATCTACATTTAAACATACACATACTCAAGTATCTAAAAGAAAAAAAATAATGTCTTAATAAATACATTGTCTTTGTTTGGTCAGTACTGGTCCTAACACAAAGATTAAATAGCACGGTTGTGGGCAGTTTCATTTTACACTGATATGAATTTGGTTGGATGTTTTAACCCCTTAAAACCCCAGGCTTATTACATACTAAGGCTTATCATTCAGTAACTCCAGGGACTTCAGTGGAAACTGGTCCATTCTTAGGTTTTAGAAGACTGTAATAAAACTTTAGGCCCACCAGCAGGCCCTGGTCATGTAAAGGGCTAATAAAACCAGTCCATTTAAATGTGCAGCAACTCAACTGATTGGCTAGAGCAGGGGTCGGCAACCCAAACATTAAGAAGAGCCATTTTGTCCTTTCAATAAAAATCAAACCACCTTGGGAACCACAACCTTTCATATCCATTTTACCATCTTGGCTGTATATTTGTCTCAGTATGTACTACTGTCCTAGTCTAGGCCAAAATATATAACATAGAAGCTTTTAGCTTTAGCTCAGCTATAGCCGCCTTTTCTTGCATCTCCGGCAGGAAACTTTTCCGCGAAAAGCTTCTCGTTCAAATTTTCGTGTTCCACCTTAAATGGTGCCTGTAGCGCAAGAATGTAACTGCTGCACCAATTTTAAGATGGAACGGGAAAATTCGAATGAGAAGCTGACTTCAGCTTCATGACTTTCTAGTGTTTGACAGCTTCTTGTTGCAGATTAAACAGATCAGGAAACCAGCTGAGTGATTATAAATGCAAATAAGCTAATTCGTCTCCAAATTATCGATGCTCATCTTAAATCTTTCTCTTCGCCGTTTCGTTAGCTACTAGCAAGGCGAGATTTTTGTCTGCTTTGTCTGTGTTGCTATGTGACCAGCAGTCTGCACGCCAACCTTCAGGGTCAAAGGTTGATGAATTAGCAGATAAAGGCTACATTAAATTCAGCGTGTATGACCACTGGTTCCCAAAACTGTGTTAGAGCGATTAGCAGAGCTTTGTTTTACTGCAAATGAGGATTATTTTATTTTTAACTAAAAGTCTAATTCTGCTGTGGAGCTGCAACAGGGCAGTAAAAGAGCCGCATGCAGCTCCGGAGCCGCATGTTGCTGACCCCTGTGCTAGAGAAAAACAGAAATATCTCCTGACCTTTGAAATTTCTACATTGTGTTGTGAAAATATATGCAGTAAAAACGTTTACTTATTTATTTCTTAATTAATTTTTTTTTTCCTCTCTTGAAAACATAATTGAGTAAAAGTACAAATATTCAATTTCAATAACACTCAAGTAAAGCAGAAAGAGTAGAATCATTACAGTGACCTCACGACAGCTGGAAGCAAGGCTGCATAGCACACGTAGAGGACATTTACAGATAAATGATCATTCAGAGCTGATTTTATCAGGCAATAGAAGGAGCTAAATGATCTCAATAGCAGTAGCAGCTGGGTAGCCCCTGGACAGTCCATTCTGCTCTGTAGCGGTGATGTGATGCGAGCATTATGGAAGGGTAATATTTTCCTGGTGGCAGTGGTATGGTTGGAGTAGTTTGTAATATTTTCTCTGTATTGGTCCCATGGTCGGCATGGCCTCTGGTCTGACAGCTCAAATAAAGATGATGTCGCTTCAGCTCATTTCTGCTGCACCAGGAAAAAGCCCACTTGGATCGGCATTACATTTCACGTCCAAGCTGACACACACCCATGCTGGCCTGTGGACCCTACGACGGGCAGGCACTCGCACCCCTCGTCAGCCTGGGTCAGTCCATCACAGAGCCTGTTTAAAAGATTAAAGAACTATTAAAGTTTCAGTGGAACTCAGGCCGCGGGCCATCAGCAGAGTGATGTGAGTTAGTTCCGTAAGGGTGGGACTCACAAGGGATCTTGATGGAAATGAGTGCGGAGGTGTGGAGGATCCCGAGTGCCTTAAGAAACAGCACAGGGACATGAAAGCTGCTGATGGATGGGGTTCCTTATGGGTGTGTGAGTGCTCAAGGAAGTCAGAAGAGTGTCCTTCGGAAGCTTCCAGAGCCACAGCATGAAAGTCCAAAGCAGAGAGCTTGAGGAAAGAGCCTGTTTGTGCGTGCAGAGGGGGGGCAGCTCTGTCCCACTTTCTATCAGACTCCCCATGGTCAGGATCATAGTTATACAGGTTAAGCCATAGCAGATCACCGCTGGGCTGGAGATCACTGTCAGCGCCAGTGTTAGAATCACTCTGTGGAGGAACGCACTGCTGCAGATTTCAACCATACACTTTAAAGATGCATGCGTTCTGGTTTTATCCCTTTGCAGAGTGCTTTGATCAAAAACAGCACACTGAGAGAGAAACAACACTGATCCACAAATCTACTCATTGGAAGAATTTGGATTCTCTTTTGGTACAATTTTATCATTTTCCAACCTCTATTTACCCCTTATAATTAAACAGGTTGTTTTTGTCACAGTGGCATTAAGATTGATATATGCAAATAACCTCTGTTCTGATTGGCTGCCCAGTGTGTATCATTCAAAAATGCAGGCCAGGAAACACTCCAAACAATTTTAGTGCATTGGGGATGGGGGGGGCGGCAGTTGTATAAGTGGGCTAAATGAGTGGAAAAATGTAAATGTGTTGGTTTTTGTGACATCACAAAACCAGTACAAATGGGTTCTCTTTTTCACTTTTCTCCATTCATTAGATTAAATGTAGCAGCAGCGCCCTTATGATAACATTAGTCTGCTCAGTGCTGCAGCCACGTTATCACTGACCTACCCAAATGGGGACCAAATACTTGTAAAATGCAAACCCTGTATTTCATTTATTGTTTGGACTGCTCATAATGTTGCTGGCTAAATCAGCATGTTTTAGTCTGATTTACTTTTAGTCTAGCTCCAGTAGCTGCTCAGTTTAGGCTACAGGCTCCGTAGTCAGCAATATTAGCAAGTAGATGAGAAATTAAAGTTGTACTGTTTTACCTGCACATAACATACTACAACCAGTGTGATGAAGTTCTCTGTTGACCAACATATTGATGGTATAGTCATGTAGCCAACAGTATTTAGAAATCAGCAGGTACATTTGGCTGTATTTTGTCTCATTACCTGTATGAGTAACGTTAGCTGTCTTTCCTGTTGTCTGGGGTTTGGTACAGACAGCTTTTTATAATGTATGCTTAATGTGTGCTTTTACAGTAATCAGTGAGGACAGAGATGCAGGAGAGAAAGAGAGAGAGAGAGAGATAAATTAAATAAAATCAATTTGAAACCTTTAACACATTTTTTCAGCTTTTTTTTCAAAATAAATAGTTACATGATTAATTAAATTAAATTAAACAGGATAACTGGAGTCAAATCAGTTTATGGAAGAGTAGTAGCAGTTTATAAAAGAATGGAGGACTGGGGAAGGAACAGATGAAAGGAAAAAGATGTGTAACAGTTGTGGATGGGTTAAAAGGAGCAATGATTTGGTTAAAAACAAAAAAAAACTAAAGGAGCAACTTTCGGTTGGTGTAATACTCACAGTTAATTTATTCACTATGAGATGTAGGTCACGTTTCTGCAAAATGGATGCCACTAAAATTTTGATCCTAGTTACGGACATAACTATAAAATTTTTGTATTTCAAAACAGAGAGAAAAATTCTGCTTTCCACAATATGGGCCCTTTAAGAGGTTAAATATTTTTCTGCATTTTTTAAATCAACAGAAGACAATTAGAAAAAAAATACATTGTTATGCATGAAAAAAATGCAAATGTGGGATGTTTCACATTGATTTATTTTGTGCAACTAGTATAAGAGGTGATCCATAGACATTCATTTAGTTGATTTAGTGATTTCACTTTAACTGACATTCTACAAATTTGTCACTTTGTGTCTGAAAAACATCTATAAATGTCCACTTATGCATTGCTAGTTACCTAATGTGAGACAGTATCAGCTGTCTGTGCCCCATTCTATGTGGTTCTACACACTCAGTCAAAACATTTTAACTAGACATGTACCTGACTAAGTAAATAAACAATAAAAAATGAGACTGGATATCTATGTATTCCAACACCAAAGACCTTCTCCAGCTTACACAGGAAACAATCTATAACAGTACTCAGAATTATCTGCTTGACATAACATGTCCGCCACACTCCATCTGACTTTCTGATTTAGCCATAAATCAGAAAGGGATTGATGTATGAGAGAGGACAGAGAGAGAGAGAGAGAGAGAGAGAGAGAGTGAAATTGAGTGTATTCAGGAGCATGCCATGCCTTGTTTGGACTGGTGCTTTGATATTTAAATTTGTGCATGGGCAGAAACTGATGTGATCCCTCTAGATAGTTATGGAGATGAAGAAATGACATGCTGAAAGCTAGAAGAATCATGCAACTAGGCAACAGAGGAGAGACGATTGACAGACAGACATCATAGATAGATAGATAGATAGATAGATAGATA